AACTAGTTTATCAGAATAAGAATGAGTTATTGGGGCAGGTATGGCTTTCAAGATCAGGTAGTTTCCAGGTTTGAAAAAAAGTCACTGCCCACTAAAATCCTCAGTTCCTTTGCCCTGACAGCCCAACCTCATCAAAACATTGGCAACAGGAGTGATTAGCAAATTATTGATACAGACAGGAGAGCCTATTCCTACGTATATCCTCCTCGATCCTGTTAGCTTATTATGGACATGGCATTTCAAACGTGGTGTATATGCTACAAGTTTTCCATTTCCCTGACTAATTATTTTGTAATAGTGCTTATATGTTGAGGAAAATAGTTGGGTTGAAATATGATACAAAGACTTGCCAGTAGATAGTCAGATGAAAACTTTTTACAGCGTTTCATGTTAACATGTTGCAACAAATCCACCTCCTAGTAAATTCAATTATTTGCAAACAAAAGAAAATACCATCTAAAACTTTTCAACCTATTTAATATAGCCAATAACAACATCAACTCAACTACTAAACTTAAGAGAAAACTTGATTGATGTTTGGAATTGATTACTGTGATGTAAAAATGAAATCCAGGTATCAGCTCAAGTTTTCTGAAAGACACCCACATTACATGCAGTTACAGCAGAGGTTATAGAATTAAAGAACAGAAAAAAATCTCAAAAAGACGTCGTTTATTTCCAGCCAGAGGACAATTATGAAACATGAAACAAGAGTAGCCAAAAGCGAAAAAGTTTTCAAAAATTACACAGGTTCAAACACTAGTTGAAAATTACTTTTTTTTTAAAATTTTCTACGCTAAACAGAGGAGGTTGAAACGTTGAGGAAAAACGGTGGGGTAAGCAGTCATACCTGGTAACTTCAAGAGAAGATATAAGAGAAGCCCATACGATTTTGGCGTATTGCGTTACTGACGTACCGTGCTCACTGCACGCATACACCTCAATCCACCAGTAATGTCTTAACGCAAAGTGGTTTACTGTCGTTTCCTTCAATTTTGGCTCATTTTTCCCAAACCGAAATTATAAGTCACGCTCAATAGGGTATAATTTCAACTATTGCTGACAGCATACACTTCATCTGAAGACGAAAACACTCTCTATCTTCGAAAATCTTGTCACAACATCAAGAACAACGACGAAAGTCGTAAGCTGTCTGAAGATACCGCTGACTAGTATGTGTGTAGTTGTGAGAACATCGTCCCCAGGTCCAGACTTCGTCAATTCTTCCCCAACTCGCCACCCCCCGAACTGGTCTTTCAATCCATTGAAGAAACTCTTCTACAGCCGGTGCTGAAGACTTTTATTACGGTTTTTATTCATTATAACGAAGGGCCGGAAAAAAAACTAACAAGAGCTCCGCTTTTAGACTTGGCTAGATCTATATAATATTCTTAGACTTTTATAATTATTATTATTATTATTAATTGTTCCATTTCTGAGTGAAATATCAATAATATAAGCATAATATCTAAGAACGTCACTTTAAGACTTAATTATTATAATGCTCACAAACGAGTTATGAAAATTCTAATAAATGGGCTATTTAGATTATCGATAAACTACAAAACCTCTAATAAGCGACCTCTAACCCTGTGTATTTTTTTGCCACCATATATCTTAAAGTTTGTTTGCATACCCAAGCTTTTTTATAAGTTATTTGATAAATCTGTACTCATGACAAACATCCTAACATAACGAAAATAGACTTCACTCTACCTCCTATTAGGCTGCCTGAAAAGGACTTATGAAAATTCTAGAAATGAGCTTCTTAGATAGCTTAATAACTGCCAAAACACTGATTAGTGACGTCTCGTAAAATATTCCCACTTTCTATCTCTTTTGTATCCTTTTTTCTTTCAAGTAGAGATACTGTTTAAAAGGAAAATAATAATAACCTGATAACCTTACAATCCCATTCATTAAAAACTGATATTGTTCTACAACTAATATTTTTTTTCAACAGCGGGCGTTTTAATTGGTTACTTTGGGGCCACATGACATCCAACAATAGAACTAATGCCTGTGTAAAGTTCCTGATCTGAGTGGAATACATTACAAAGTCTTTGATATTAGAAGGTAGCAATGGAATGTTTCCCGCTCGTGTTTATAGACAACCACCGTTACACGTAAACATGGCTTGACTGAGGTTAACGTTAAACCGGCATGACATTCGGGACCGGTTCTGAAGAGTTTACTATTAAAAAAACTTTCCATAATAGGATAGTTCATAGATGGAACTCATTGGACAGTTCCCTTTAAGTTATTAACTTTATAAATTAATAGAGGCGGATCACGTGCTCAAGCCCGGGTTAAATATTATTAACTTTACAATGGTTTTTGATCACACTCTAACGAGTAAACTCTAAAAAAGTTTTATCAAATCTCAGGATGTTAAGGGTTAGGGTGTTGAATATTATGATCCTAGACGGTGACATTTTTAATAACAGCCAGGGTAAGAACATTCTTATCATCTCATGTTGAAAAAGGAACAAAGGAATTAGAATATATTTAAAAACTTCTGCAAGTACCACCACGACAGCTTTTTCTTGTTAATGGCAAATCGGCTTTTGAATATCAACTGTAATACTCAAGAAACGTTTCGGAATCAGCTCTACAATTCTATAATTTGTACAAGGCCATTATCATTCGAGTTCCCACCAGTGAAACCGGAACAATCTTCGCCATTACAATACGAGCCTCCTCCACCTCCGGCTTGATTCCATCTGGTACCACTACCTCCCCCAGAGTAACCACCACC